CAAAATGGCAGTTGCAGATTTCTGTGGGAGGTATCATCACTACCACAAAGTTCTCCATTTTGGAGGCATTGTCTTAGTACTCCTGTTTTCGAAATGGCAGTTGCGGATTTCTGTGTGAGGTATCATCACTACTGCAATGTTCTTCTCCATTTTGGAGGCATCGCCTTAGCGGTCCTGTTTTCAGAATGGCTGCTGTTTTCAAAATGGCAGTTGCAGATTTCTGTCTGAGGTATCATCACTACGGCAATGTCCTTCTCCATTTTGGAGGCATCGCCTTAGCGGTCCTGTTTTCAAAATAGCTGCAGTTTTCAAAATGGCAGTTGCAGATTTCTGTGTGAGGTATCATCACTACAGCAATGTCCTTCTCCATTTTGGAGGCATCGCCTTAGCGGTCCTGTTTTCAAAATGGCTGCAGTTTTCAAAATGGCAGTTGCAGATTTCTGTGTGAGGTATCATCACTACCACAATGTTCTTCTCCATATTAGAGGCATCGCCTTAGCACTCCTCTTTTCAAAATGGCTGCTCTTTTCAAAATGGCAGTTGCAGATTTCTGTGTGAGGTATCGCTACCGCAATGTTCTTCTCCATTTTGGAGACATCACCTCAGCGCTCCTGTTTTCAAAATGACAGTAGCAGATTTCTGTTCAAAGTATCATCGCTACTGCAATGTTCTTCTCCACTTTGGAGGCATTGCCTCAGCACTCCACGTTTCAAAATGGCTGTTTTCAAAATGATAGTTACAGCTTTTGGGGAGAGACATTATTGCTATTGCAATGTTCTTCTCCACTTTGGAGGCATCGCCTCAGTGCTCCTGTTTCAAAATGGCATCTGCAGATTTCTGTGTGAGGTATCATTGCTAACACAATGTTCTTCTTCATTTTGGAGACATCACCTCAGCACTCCTGTTTTCAAACTGGCTACTGTTTTCAAAATGGCCGTTGCAGATTTCTGTGTGAGGTATCATTGTGACCGCAATGATGTTCTCCATTTTACAGGCTCTGGGCGTTTTCAAAATAAAATTGCAGCTTACCAGGAGATATATTAGGCTGGGTCAAAAAGTAATTCCTCAATCGCTCTGACTTTTATATCTTTCACAGCTACTGGACTATCTATGCATGATATGATAGAGTGAACCTTACTCTACAGATAGAGTCTTTTCTTTTTCCGATTGACTGATTAGAACCATGAATCTGAAGCTCAAAGAAAGAGTCGTCATTGAATTTCTGGCAAAAGAAAGTTAACGTGCACCTAAGGAAATGCAAAATCACTTGAAGAATGTTTATGATTTGGCCCCTTCTGACTTTTACCTGTTTGGACCTCTGAAAGATAACCAACGTTGTTTCAGATTCAATGACTTGAATGATGTTAAAACAGCTTTAAAATGGAGCCCCCGGTGGTGCAGTTGGTTAAACCCCTGTGCCAGCAGGACTGAAGACCGACAGGTCGCAGGTTCGAATCTGGGGAGAGGCGGATGAGCTCCCTCTATCAACTCCAGCTCCTCATGTGGGGACATGAGAGAAGCCTCCCACAAGGATGATAAAAACATCAAATAATCCAGGCGTCCTCTGGGCAACGTCCTTGCAGACGGCCAATTCTCTCACACCAGAAGCGACTTGCAGTTTCTCAAGTCACTCCTGACAGGACAAAAAAAAAGCTTTAAAATCATGGGTCATGAAGCAAAACCCCGATTTTTTCCAAAATGGTTTGGATAACTCGGTTAAACAATGGTGCAAATGTGTACTAATTGATGGTGACTATGTTGAATAGTAGTTCTGGGTAGAGGACAGTTCGGGTTATGATCTGTAGCAACTTTGGCTGTTATATGTTCATTCATAGCGTTTTTATGACTCAGGAAGCAAAATTTTTTCATCCACCCTCATATATTATTATTAATCTTTCTTAATTTTTCTCTTCTTAGTTATCCTTACTAACATCCTTGCAGTTTAAAAACATGAATGGTTGGTTAGGCGGGAGTGAAAAAACCGTTGGAGAAGAGGGAAGGGCCTTAATGGCGCAAGTGAAGACAAGATCCAACTGCCGTTCTGTTGGAATGCGGACCAAACCCCACCGGAATGGATTGCTCCCATTAGCCATCCTGAGAAGGAGAAAGGAGGAAGAAGCGAGGGTGAAACAATTCCTTGGTGTAGTGTGGCGTAGGTCTGTACGACTGTGAGCTATCAGTTTACTGGGAAAGTGTGCCCATGCTTGGGTTTGAGTATAAACATGTGCCATTTCTAAATAGGAAGGAACAGGACTGCAGAGAAGAGAATTGGCTTTGAATCAACTTTGGAGTAATGCCACCTAGTGACAAAACACAGTCCCAATCCTTCCAGTACTAAGGACAGGAGAGCCTTGACATAGTCTCGCCTTTGGAAATCCAACCTGTATTTGGTCTCGCCTTTGGAAATCCAACCTGTATTTGTAGAGAACTAAAAAATCCCACCTCACTACCTTTGAGGATGCTTGCCATAGATGCAGGCAAAACGTCAGGAGAGAATGCCTCTAGAACATGGCCATATAGTCCGAAAAAACCTACAACAACCCAGTGATTCCGGCCATGAAAGCCTTCAACAACACATTTAATCCCACTAGTTTTGGGGTGCGAGGCTCTATGCGGAAAAGACAAAAGACAGCAGGCAATCCACTATGACTCACCTGGGCATTGCTAGGTCTTGAAGTAGGGAATCTTTTCCCGGATCGAGTGTCACCAATGAACCTTTTTTGTGACTCAAAACATCCTAGTACATTTGAAACCAGCTGCTACCTCTTTGGCAATGCTTACAGAAATGCTCTTATTTCTGACTGCATCCCCCTGGGCTTTAAGATCCACCAGGGAGGCCCTCCTCTCGCTCTCCCCACCATCACAAGCACGGTTGGTGGGGACGAGGGAGAGGGCCTTCTCTGTGGTGGCCCCCTGACTTTGGAACACCCTCCGCAGGAGATTAGGCAAGCCCCTACACTGTGCTCCTTTCGTAGGGTCCTGAAAACTTGGATGTTGCAACAAGCATTTGAAAATGACTAGTCCCTACTTAAAAATGCCCAGTCCCTAGCCTGCTAAATAGTAATCTGTTCTCTGCACTACTTCTAATCCCTTGCCCCTATATTATGCTGTATTGTACTATTCCATACCTGGTCCTTTTTAGAGCCTGATCTTAGTATTTCTGTCTATTGTCTTTTTTTGTGTGTGTGTGGATTGTTTGAGTGAGTTTTAAGGCTGCTGTTTTATGTTTTATTTAATTGTGTTTGATCTGATTGTTATGTTTTCCTCTTTTATTTTAACCATATTTTTGTTTTGTTTTTGCTTTGATATTCTGAGGACATTTTGCCCCATGTGTAAGCTGCCCTGAGTCCTTTCAGGAAGATGGAGGCAGGATATAAACATAAAGTTGTTGTTGTTATTTTACTGACAGAAAAACACAGTATGTCACAGCAAACGAGAACTATACGCTGGATTTTGTATCACAAAATCACAAATTGAACACTTCCCAAGAGTCTAGGACTGTGCGGTGTATTTTCGAATGATGCGTGCAGATCCAAGTAAGGTGGACTTTTACAGTTGACAGATCGTGATTTTGTCAATGTTTGTTTCCAAATGCTGACTGAGGCCTTTTGGCATGGCACCTAGTGTGCCGATGACCACTGGGACCACCTGTACTGGTGCCAGAGCCTTTGCTGTTCGATTTTGAGGTCTTGATAACGGCTGAGTTTTTCCTGTTGTTTTTTGTTGATTTGGCTGTCACCTGGTATGACAACATCCGATGTACCATCTTGAGTCGCCTGCGGGCTGATATGGGCGGGATATAAGTGATGTAAATGTGATGTTGTGGTGGGGGGCTTAACTGCTCCAAGGATGCTGAGAGCTGTGCTGGTGGTAGTGTAATTACTAGCAGGTTCAACCAAGTCAGAGAGGTCTCAGCTGAGGAGTGGAACTAAGAGTACCTAACCCATTAGCATTATGGAGAAGCAAACCAAAACGGAGTCTATAATGTATTTAAAAACACAAACAATGTTTAAAAACTTGGCATTACACTAAATGTCCTTTGACCAGTAGCTGGACACTTGGGAGTGCCTCTGGTGTTGCTGTAAGAAGATTGTGCATGTGGCAGGGTTCAGACTGCATTGTAATAGGTAGTCTGTGATTTGCTCTTCTCCACACTCGCATGTTGTGGTCTCCACTTTGTGGCCCCATTTCTTAAGATTGGCTCTGCATCTCATGGTGCCAGAGCGCAGTCTGATTAGCGCCTTCCAAGTTGCCCAATCAGTCTGTTCAGCACCTTGAGAGAATAAGAGATGCCTCCCCACAGGATTGCAACACACCTGGGCGTCCCCTGGGCAACATCTTTGTAGACAGCTGATTCTCTCACACCAGAAGTGACTTGCATCATGCAACCAACCATACCTTTACCTTTACCTTTAATGCACTGGGATTGTGGTGCAGCTGGCTGAGTGTCAGCTACATTAAGATCACTCTGACCAAAAGGTCATGAGTTCAAAGCCAGCCCGGGTTGGAGTGGGTTTCCAACCAATTGTGTGTAGCCTGTTGTTGACCTTTGCAACCTGAAAGACAGTTGCATCTGTCAAGTAGGAAAATAAGGTACCACCTTAAAGTGTGGGGAGGCTAAATTAACTGAGTTATGAGGCCATAAAGAAGACTCCAGCAAAGCATTCCAGCGGGGAAGCATGCGGGAATGCGGAAGTGCTTCATCAGTGTCGCAGATGGACGATTAAAGGGACAGCTTCCCTGACGGCCAGAAAAAAAAGTTAAATAGCCTCTGTGTATGTCTGTATATGTTGTATGTTAAACTTGGCATTGAATGTTTGCCATATATGTGTACACTGTAATCCGCCCTGAGTCCCCTGCGGGGTGAGAAGGGTGGAATATAAAAGCTGTAAATAAATAAATAAATAAATAAATAAATAAATAAAGGGTGGAAGTGGAGTGGAGCCAAGGCTAACCCTGGGAATCCTTCCCCTAACAACAAACTAAGACAAGCAGGTACATTTTCAGACAGAAAATCAAATTTTATTTAGAGGGAAGGGAAAATATTTTACAGGAAGTCACTTATGAAATGCAGATAAATAAAAGCTATTATGAAATTTTGATGGGTTTTGGTTTGTTTCCATGTACATGGAAGACGGGGAGAAAACAAAACTTTTTACAGACAATAAACTACTTTTTACATAATTACAAATTAACAGATAGAATTTGAAAAGTGTTTAAAAAAAACCTCTCCACTGTGGTACACAGGAAATACCTTTGTACAAGTCTATTTGGTGGCAGTAGTGGAAGTGATGGGGAGGGGGGGGGGAGAGATTGAAGCCAAGTGAGAGGACCATATTAATATACAATACCATTTTGTGTAATATATTTATGCTATAGTTCATCCAGTCACTGTCAGAAATAACTTACCATGGCTGAATTTTAATTGTAAACTAATCACAATAGGAGAAGAAATAGACATACAGCACTTAGACTTCAAAATGCTGGCAGTCCACAAACCTATCTCTTGTTTCTTGAAAACATGGTTTTCTTCCTCTGTGATGAGAAGAAATGATGGCAGCAGATTGTATTTTTTTGGCTACGAACTCCCTACATGAAAATGGCATCCATTTGCTCCCACAGAATAGCCCTTGGGTATGAATTGTACAAATTCAAACTATTTGGGTTTGAAGAGGTGAAAAATATACACCTAGCCATGTGGATGAGAGTGAAGATCCAAAGTCCTGGTGAACGAGGAGGCAGAAGGGAGAGAACCAAATCCGTAGTAAATAAAGGACAGACACAATTGTCTTGAGAGAAATGGCAGTGATTCAAGGGAAACATCACTTTCCAAGTGTTACATGTTCCATTCCCCAGAAGCATATGATGGAACATCAAATCTATCCATCTCCTGAAACATCAATGAAAGTGAGATACAGTTACACACCTTGAGGAATGGGCTGGTTTTCAATGCGTCTTTTCACAGAAGGGTCTGCAACGTTAATGTAATGCCAGCTGTGCTTCTTCTAAGGACCTCATCACACTAGAGAATGAATCCACTTAAAATCCGGTTTCTGCTTCCTGCACAATTCTGGGGTTTATAGTTTAGGGAGGAGCCTCTAACAGCTTCTCTAAACTACAAACCCCAGAATTCTGCAGGAGGCAGAAACCAGATTTAAAGTGAATTCATTCTCTAGTGTGATGAGGTTGTAAGTGAGGTTGGGTGTTAGAGGTTGCTCCCTAGCAGTGGTTGAGTGCATTTAATAACTACAGGTGATTTGTCCCCTTTAGTATGATGCCCGCAGTTATCAATGTAATATGTACATAAGAATTTACTTTAAAAAAAAATAAAAAATGTACTTGGAGCTTCATAAGCCCAGTTTTAAAATAAACAAAACAGGAAACCAAAGTAAATGCTCTCTTTTTTCACAAAAAAGAAAATCCAGACCTCTTTCAAACAAACAGAAAGATGTTTTGAAATGCAAGCCCAGCTTGCAACTGAGAACAAACATAAAAGCATAAGAATAAAAATAATAAAAATCTGAACTCCACTACTGCCTCCTAATTTGTTTCCTAAAGGATGAAGCACTTAAGAGAGCTTCCAAATCCAACCAAGTTGCTTAACTTGCCGGTTAAGGCAGACCAGATGCCTCCACATAGTCCCAGCTCTGAAGGCTTGGTACAGAATAGCTTCCATGCTCATTTCTGCATGTTTTGTTGGACAAAACCAGCTCCTGAGATGCTTGAAAAGAGAAAAGGCATCGGGACAATAGTGCAAACCTGTCTTTAAAAATAAATGTTGGAGAGGTGGTGGGAAAACAAATCTTCCAAAGGCTTCAAGGGAGGATTCCTTTCTTTGTATTATTTAAGTCTTCAAATGTCAGTAGTCTATTGGAAGAGGAATATTACAGTAGAGCCTCACTTATCCAAAATTCCATCTTATCCAATGCTCTTATCCGACACCCTTTTACTCCAGCATTTCCCTTTCAATTAAAGGAGCGCTCCCCAACTCTCTCTCCATTCCCAATAATTGAAAAAGGCAAGATGAGGAGAAGGGAGGAAAGGGGGAAGAGAGTCAGGACCGGAAGTGGAAGCGTCCTCCCTCCTTCCCTCTGTGATTTCCATGCTCCTCTTCCACATACGGGCACTTTCTACTGGGTCGCTCTAGCCCCAAGGCATTGCTTTGCCTTAACCCTTTGAGTCCCTATTGTGAGTATTCTAGGTGTCCAGCGATGCGTCAGACGGGTAACAGTTGGAGACTTCGTATTATCCAAACGTTTCATCTATTTGATGTTCTGATGGCCCATTTATGTTGGATAAGCGAGACTCTATAATTAGAAATATTCCTCTTCCATTGCAATTACTCACAAATTTGACAAGTCAACTTGTACTGGCTCAAGGTGCTAGAACGAGCCCTCTTTCATTACCAGACCTTCCGCTTCTTTCTCCCAGTGGGAAAAGGGACACAGCTTAACTTAAATGCGTTCAGGGATTTTACATTCCATGCTCTGAAGATGTTTTCTAAACAGAACTTCAGCAGAGGGAAAATGCATATGGGAAAGGCCATGACTCTAGCAATTCAAAATGGGGTTGTGCCTTCCTCTCAATAAATTATGACAGAAAGATAAAAAGAAGAGATTAGAGGGTATGTTTGAGGAAGACAGCCTTGTTCTCAAAAATGGCATGACTAGAAGAATTAATTCAGATGTTCAAAAAAAGATTCCTGAAAAGACCGACACACACAACTCTTTCTGAGCTGGAAATGTACCACAACGTAGCTCCCTTCACTGCCTTCCAATGCTCAAAATGAAAACGGCATGGTGAAAGGACCATCCATGTAGTGGAGCACCTCCAGACTCTAGGACAGGCATGAGCAAACTTTGGCCCTCCAGGAGTTTTGGACTTCAACTACCACAATTCCTAACAGCCAGTGGGCTGGAGGGCTGAAGTTTTCCCGTGCCTGCTCTAGGTTGCAGTAAGAAGCCATTTTTAAAAATCAAGGATCGGTTCATGTTTACATCATGTTAACACGTCTTTTTCAAAAAGATAACTGGTTCTGATTCAAAGTAATGACAGGACCAGTCTGGGAACTCTGTAATTTAAGCTTCAGCTTTCCCAGTAAACAAAGCTTGGAGACATATTGCATTGTTCTGTTGCAGGTAGATTAATATACTTCAGGTTAGGGTGTGGCTTTTAAAAAGCTAAATGGCAGCCAATCTCATTACCTCCCCCAATAAGCTTTCAAAATGATGATGGAGTTGCATGAAAATTGGGAGAAACTGAAAAATGTCCTGATGAGGTTGATAGGAGAAGTCAAGAATGAGAAATAGGGGGTTCCCCTCCATCTGCGGCTGAAAACTATGACCACTCCAGCATCTCTCAAAGAAATCCTATGTTGCATTAACAGCTTTCCAGTTTGAACACGGCAAGTGAGATACAAGCATTCTAGGAAAGGGTGTTCATATTTCTATTCCATCCCCATTTAAAGTCTTCACCAAGTTCAAATGTTTTCAAATCCACAGAGCTTTCCAAGTAGAAGAATCTGATGCCATCGATGGAACTGCCACCGACAAGCAGGCCCATTGCTTCTAGTCTCCCTATAATGTAACTGCCAGGACATCCTCCTGTAGGAGTCAATATACAGACAGGTTCTCCAGCCAAAGCTCAACGCTGTAAAGGTCTCTGTCCCATTAGCTGGCCTTTGAGTCCATTCCCCAAAAACAAACCTATACAAAGGGGTTACTGGTGGCAAAAGCATTTGAAGATCAAAAAGTACAAAGATATTTCGTTATTGACACAGTCCCTGAACAGTTTAGTAGATATCAATGAACCCTTTAGGGTATAGAGCTAAGCTCTTCCAAGTTTTCTGTACAGAATTAGTGCATCTCCCAATGGATACACAACTACATTTATTTATATATGTATATTTTAAAGTGTACGAATATATACAGTATATCTATACATACCAGTGTATAAACACTGCATAAAGAGCCCCATCTATTTACAAATGAGGCCTTTTGGATTTTTGGTGGTGTTCCCTATGAGAAGATAAGCTTGGTTGCCCCTGGGATATATTCCTTCCATTCCCCAGCAATAATACAAACACATTTTTGGAGATGAGCAGAAATCCAGGGGAGTGTCTGTCTGTGCAAGCCGTAAACCAGCAAATATACAAAGAGTGGACATTTTCGAGAACATGAGTAACCAAAACCGAGCCCGCCCAGTCTGGTCACATCCAAAGTTCCTCTCTGAGGGCAACCTCCCCTCCACACTGACTTTTTAGATACCTTTTAAAAAGTAAGATCTTCAAGAAACAGAGAAGTAAAGGATAGGCCGCAACTCTAAGCTTCCAGATGAGTTTCTGCTGTAAGGAAACCCAATGCTAATTCAATGAAGAGAAGGGAGAGTCACCAATGTGTTGGCCCCCATATGGCATATGCTTGGCTGAGTGGAACAAGAGGTGGTCTCATCCTTGTGAAATGGAGAGAGGTGAAGTTAGCAGAAGATCTCCTCACCCTCTGGACCTGCTTCTGGTGAGTGAGTATCTGAGAAGAGAAAAAAATAACACCATAAGTAAAGGTAAAGGTTTCCCCTGAAATTAAATCTAGTCATGTCCGACTCTGGGGGGTGGTGCTCATCTCCATTTCTAAGCTGAAGAGCTCGTGTTGTCCATAAACACCTCCAAGGTCATGTGTCCAGCACGGAGTGCCATCACCTTCCCACAGAAGCGGTCCCTATTGATCCACTCACATTTGCATGTTATCAAACTGCTAGGTTGGCAGAAGCTGGGCCTAACAGTGGGAGCTCAGGTCACTCCCCGGATTTCAACCACCAACCTTTTGGTCAGCAAGTTCAGCAGCTCAGTGGTTTAACCAGCTGCTCCACTGGGGGGGGGGGGTAATTATCACCATATTATGCAAAAATCCAATTTTTCCTACTCTCCCTGCTTATAAGCACAAATATGATGAACTTAGTTTGTGTATGACACACAAAGTAAAACAGTACCATTGAGCAGACAAAAATGCATTTTCTCCTCCTCCTCTAAAATCAACATCATGTATCTAAGAATGCATATAGATGGGTCTGCTTTGAACCCTGAAGTTTTCTCCTTTGGAAATTAACAACGGCTGGTTATATTGGTCAGGGCAAATGTATGAGTAGGTGATCACTTTAGAGATACTACTTTCAGAGGCACTAGTGATATGCTGGCCATTCTTCTATGGGTCAACTTTCCAAATGGACAAGAGATACAAGCAGCTATGTCATCACTGTTTCCAGATGCACCAAGCATCAATAGGTGACAAACTCACCAATCCTTGTTATCAGAGGAGAGATAAGTATCAGTTGGGGATCTCTCCCTCCAGCACCAACTGCTGCTCTGGGCCAGAGTGAAGAGAGAGGGGGCAGAAGATAATTCCACCTTGTCTCCTGTGCTATTCTAATAATATAATATAATTTATTTATTTATTTAAAACATTTATATTCCGCCCTTCTCACCCTGAAGGGGACTCAGGGCAGAGCACAGCATATATGCGGCAAACATTCAATGCCGGGACACAAATTCTTATATACATACATAAACATTAAAAACATTTATCAAAATATTAAAATACACCATTTCAAACCGTCCTAGTCATCCACATGAATTCTAATTGGCCTGGTCATCTTTCCTATTGCGGCTTTATTGCCCTGTCCCAAAAGCTTGGTCCCACAGCCAAGTTTTGACCATCCTTCTGAAGGACAGGAGGGAGGGGACCGACCTGATCTCACCAGGAAGGGAGTTCCATAGCTGGGGAGCAATCAACGAGAAGGCCCTCTTCTCCCCACCAATCGTGCCTGTGACAATGGTGGGGTGGAAATCAAGGCCTCCTCCTCGGATCTTAATCTCCATGATGGTTCATAGGGAGAGATGCGTTCAGACAGGTAATTTGGGCCGGGGCCATTTAGGGCTTTATAGGCCAAAGCCAGCACTTTGAATGGTGCCTGGTAGCAAACTGGCAGCCAGTGGAGCTGGCATAACATGGGAGTTGTGTGCTCCCTGTATGCCACCCCAGTTATTAACCTGGCTGCCTCTCATTGGACTAATGTAATGTAATGTAATGTAATGTAATATAATATAATATAATATAATATAATATAATATAATATATTGTATATACATATAATATTTATAATATTTATAATATTTATTATATATTTATATTACATGTAATATTACTAATAATATTACAATATAATGGTATAGTACAATATAGTAATATTTAATACTGATATTGTACTATGCTAATAATATAATATATTGCATGTATATATTATATCTTGTAAGCCACTCTGAGTCCCCTTCAGGGTGAGAAGTGTGGAACATAAATGTCGTAAACCAATCAATCAATCAATCAATCAATCAATAAACAATAGCTGCTGAAGTTGGGGCACAGCAAACTTATCCTACAAAATTAGATGTTGGACAACACACCCTGAGTCCCTGTGCATGCAGACTGTAGACAAGTGATCTTACAGAAGGAAGCCTCTACCCTTGAGTATGTGAGACTTAAACTTCATGTCCAAAGAGCTCTTTGCTTACCAGATGGCTGTATGCGGTGCCCTTTGCCCTTCTTCTTCTTTTCCTTCTTCTCCTTTGGCTTGGCCAAGCCAAAGAGGCGGTTGGGCATCGGGATGTGTCCCTCGGCTTGTTTGTTGGTTTGGCTTGACGCTGTGGTGCCACTTAAGTGGAAAGAGCTCTTCTCTTTGTGTGCCCTTGAGAAGCTGTTTCTTTTGGGCGATACTGAGAGTTCTGTGTCCAACAGACCCTGTTTGCCGAAAGAAGCACTCAGTGACCTGCAAGACGATTCCTCAGCCACAGGCATAGAAGGGGTCCGACCCACCTTGGCATGCTGGTTGGAAAACTGCAAGGAAGAAGGTGAAAGATAGAATATAAGCACATCTGCAACAGTCTCAATTGTTGTATATGTAAGAGGTGAGAACTCCACAGAGACCATATGAACCCAAAGAGGTGGTTAGCCAGATGGGATCAGAACTTAGTCCCACTGACATTTTTACATCACACAACCAGTTTGCTATTACCACTTAATGGTGTGTCAATTTGCACCAATGGTTTTTATTAAAAGCAAACACTTATATTTATTTTCAAGTCTGAAAAGTAATTAGTAAGAAATGAGTGATAGCACTCCATATGGAATGTTCTGGGAGTCGATGGCTCAGGGTCTGCATCATGACCCATCTGTAAAAAACATTTAGCAGAACTTCCCCAGACACAGGTTGAAAGCCACCTCACATCTTCCTTTAACACCTGTAACCCCTGACTATTAATGGGGTTAATGACTATTAAAGACATGCCGCATTATCAAAGGGTGTCTGCGCCCTACACCACTGGAGAAATTACACTGCTTAGCCGGTATTGCACCACCTGACATCCGCCGGGAAGTAGCAGCCACTAGTGAAAGGACCAAGGCAGAGACATCTCCAGCTCATCCTCTGTTTGGGTATCAGCCAGCACGTCAACGACTTAAATCTAGAAATAGTTTTCTAAGATCTACAGAGACACTCGCTGGAACACCTCAGCAAGCGAGAGTCCAAAAGTGACAGGCTCAAACCCAGAACCTCAACCAATGGCTGATACCAAATGAGAGACTCCCCCCTGGGCACACAGAGGACTGGGCGACTTGGAAGGCGCTGAACAGACTGCGTTCTGGCACCACAAGATGCAGCCAACTTTCAGAAATGGGGCTACAAAGTGGAATCCTCGACATGCGAGCGTGGAGAAGAGCAAACCACAGACCACCTGCTGCAATGCAACCTGAGCCCTGCCACATGCACAATGGAGGACCTCCTTGCAGCAACACCAGAAGCACTCCAAGTGGCCAGATACTGGTCAAAGGACATTTAACCAACTACCAAACTCACAAATGTTGAATTTTATCTGTTTGTTTGCTTTGTTCTGTTAGAAATGTAATATAATTGACTGGTTGATCTGACACGACAAATAAAAAATAAAAAATAAATGGGGTGATTACCCGGTTGAAACTGGACTCTGTGTGTGGCTGAGAGAACTGCTCCATATCTCTCTTCAGTTGTTCCTTCTCCTTCTCTAGCTGCTTTTGGGCAGCCCGAAGATGCTCCAAGTCAAGTTGGTAGGCAGCTTTCTTTAGCTGTAGCTCTTCCCTCTCCTTCTCCAGGTTATGGTGTTCCTTCTGGGCCTGGTCTTCTCGCTGGGTCAGCCGGGCCTCCCGCTCCACCAGCTCTTTCTCCCGGGCTTCCCATTCTCGCTCCCTTCTCCGTTTCTCTTCCTGGTGCTGGGCCTGCTGCTTCTGAAGGTTGGCCAGCTCCTGCCTCTGTTTCTCCATGCTCCGCTGCTTCTCCTGCTCAATCAGGGAGTTGGGCCGGAAAGAGCTGCGGCTCAGAGTCCTCTCAGTAAGAAGAAGCTTCTGGTCCTCAATGTAGGTGTCCTGCTGCACCACAACTGCCTGAGAAGAAAAAGTGGCATGGGATGCAAGTGGGAAAATCATGGGCTGAGTGGAAGAGACCTTGCTTAGTAAATGGAAGGTGCCAGGATTGATTCCATCACCTCCAAGTGAGGTCAGAAGCAAGCACAATATTGGTACTTATTGTGAAGTTTGCATTTCTGAAGTTGTGGGGAGGGAATTCTTATGTCGCTGTGTCTTGCTTCTCTGACATATCTTTGAGCAAATCTGTCAACCAAACCTTACACCCCCAAGATGGACTTACCTGCAATGTGCCCAGCAAGCTGTGGAGGTGTGTTATGCTCTGGAGAACTTGCTGAAAAAGAAAAGCAGAAAGAGAAGTGGAATAGCCATTGGCTGCTAGTTGTCATTTGCTATGGTGGTCTCCTTCCCTTCCTTCCAAGGAATTCAGAAGTGTTTTACTCAGAAGGAAGAAGAAAGGAAAACATGGTTCACTGATGGACAATTGACCAAGGATTCACCACAATACATTTTTCAGATGCCCTGAGTCCCTTCAGGGAGAGAGGATGAGTTATAAGTAAAGTTTGTGTTGTTGTTGTTATTGACAACAACAACAACAACAACAACAACAATCCGGCTGTTATTAAGTGCTTGGGACCAGAAATGTTTTGGTCTCCCCTTCAGATTTTAAAAATTTCCCACAAGTTATAAATGCATTCCCAATTGAATCTTCAAAGACATAAAGGTTCTAAGTGTAGAATAAAAATGTGTTTAAGTATGAAAGCAGAAAATGAGGCAGGCAGATAAGAGAGACACAAAAGACCTCCATGAAAAGTCACAAGACTGATCCATGTTGCAGACTGAGAAACTCAAGTAAACAAGGATAGTAGCTCTTACCTCATTGTTCCTTTTCAGCACAAACATCAAGTTTGCTGTTCCTCCCTAAGAAGAAATTATACAGTAGAAATAAATAAACACACACAGAAAGGAAGGAAAACAAAAGTAAACTTACAGAGAGAAACCCATTTATGCAAGAAGATTGTGACCTAGGCTACAGCCATCCAGATGTGTTGTTTGTTCCGATCTGGAATGGTCTAGAGATGATGGGCATTTATCATCTCACACATCTGGAGGGGACTAGCTGAGGGAAGACTTATTACATTTTCAAACTCAGATCAATGCAGAAGGACCAAAATTTAAATTTGTTAGAATGGAATACTTGATATGACTGGGGCACAACATTTCTTTTAAATAGCTGTTGCTTTGGCCCCATCAGAAAAACCTCTGAGGACACCTGCCATAGATGCAGGCGACACATCAGGAGAGAATGCTTCTGGAACATGGCCATACAGTCTGAAAAGCTTACAACAACTCAAGAAGGCATCAGCTTCAGCAGGCCTTCTTGGGATTACAAGCCCTAATATCAACTAGTGGGTACGGATATACACTAAGACAACATGAGTCAGAGGCTTTGCATGTGACATCAGCATTAAGGTAATTCCATGCACTCCTTGATCTGTTTGTGCCTGATCTTATCACAACTTAGGAAAGAGAGGACAATCGGTTCTGTAGTCCCGATTCTGTAGTAATGGCATGCCTCACAGAAAGATGTAACTACCATTTTTAAAACCAGCAGCCAATAAAAAAATATGGTGTGAGTTGAGTTCCGATGACATCTGGTCGGAAGCTGCCAAGCTTGATACATTGCACAGTGCTTTGAGTGTTGGACGAGGACTCGGAAGGCCATGGTCTGAATTCCCACTTGGCCAAGAAACCCTCACTCAGCCAGTTCACCTAAACTCTAACAAAAATAACCATTGGAGAGGGATAATAACAACTTCAATCCAGCATCATCCGGAGGGCTGCTCACTCCCTATTCCTATTCTGGAAATGCTGGGGAATAATAATGAAACAACTTTATTTATACCCCGCCACCATCTCCCATAGGGACTCGGGGTGGCTTACAAAACAGCACATGATGGTGTCATACAACACATCAATACATCAACGTATAAAATCAACACTTTACACATAGCATTACAAGTCCAACCTGAACTATACCTTTTTTAAGACACTGTCAGATTCTGTCCTCCGAAGATCCTGCACGTCATCACCTTCATCCTTCTCCCCACCTAAAAACACCCCACACAAAATGAAAGTTGCTTACATTTTGCATAGCTCAGAACAAAAAAATATATACAGCAACCGCAACTTGGTAGAAACGGAGCCAAGGTAAGCCAAGAGCCCTTGTGCCCTCCTTGACTTAATCCCCTTGGATGCTCTCCAGAGACATGGCAATCTAATGCCAAGTGAAAGCAAAGCAAGTGTAGTTGTAGAAAGCACACTCACCTTTGCATACATTCATTTGGTGACTGTCGAATCCTCCAAATGTCTCTGCTCTCCTGGGGAGGGAGATGGGCCCCACAGTCTCCTGCTCGGAGGAAAGGCTGCTCAACTGTGGGCCAAGGGCACTTCCTAGGCTCCTGCTTACCAGCCCCTGTAATAGCTCAACTAAAAAGGGAAAGAGCAAGACCAAAAAGATATCAACTTCTGTCCCAGGTTATAAGCTAAAGTGGAATTAAATGGGAAGCAGGGCTCTATAAGAAAGAACAGCCAACCCCCCCAACAAACCACCACCATTACTGTTGCTGCCAATAGCCTTTGACCACTTGGATTAACAGATTTATTGTGCCATCACTTGCTTGGTGTGGAACGCAGCCCACCACACTAATAACAATTTATTTATATTCTGCCCTTCTCCCCGTGGGGACTTGAGTGGATTGCAGTGTAAACAGATACCGGCAAGCATTCAATGCCTTGTTACAATACAGAGACACACAATCACAAACAAAGGCAGAGGCTTCTCCTTTCATTTCCGGCTTTGGAGGTGGTGCTCATCTCTGGCTCTGGGGCCGTGCTGTTCTCCATTTCCCAGCTGAAGAGCCTGTGTTGTTACCTCTTGGTTGTGTGACCAGCAAGACTGCTTGGAGCATCTTATGCCTTTCCTGCCAAAGTTGTAACTGTGCTTATTATTGGGCCAGAATGATATTATTGTATATTTTCCAGCTGCCATAAATTTTGCCTATTTATCTACTCACATTTACATGTTTTTGAACTGCTAGGTTGGCAGGAGCTGGGCTAACAGCAGAAGCTCACCCCGTCCCGCGGATTCGAACTTCCAAAGTTCAGGTCAGCAGTGCAGCAGCACAATGGTTTAACCCATTGCACTACTGCGGCCCCACATACACAAAACACTGTCTTAGAGACTAAACATGCAAACAAGATCCAATTAAAAGACTCCAAGGCTTAGAGAAACCCATCCTCAGCTGGAAGAGATAAATGACCAATAACCACATTGGCCAGAAATAACGGAAACTATAGCCTGGAATGTGCGAGGTTGGGAAAGATGATGTTGCTCAACAACATTTATTGCAATACAGGTAACCTATTCTAATATTTGGCAGAGAGGGAGATAGAGGGTTAATAAATATAGGAATACAGAAAGGAACAGTAGGAAAACAAAAGGCACTCTGTAGAGAAAAGGTGCAGAGGAAGAGAGAGGGGCAGGCAAGCAACAGAGGAGAATGTACATCTGACCTCAGTCAAAGAACTAGTCACTCCCTTAAAGAATAAGCTGATCTATACTGAATGAAAGCATGCTTCACTATAGTCTAGCTTGCTAAGATCTTAGCATATTTCCAGGTTAGTAATGTCAAGAACTGAATCCGGGACTTTCTGCATCCAAGACACTCCTTCTGCTACTGTGCCTACCCTCTCCACCTTTGCAAAAAAAGAAAAAGAAAGAAAGCCTACAGCATCAAGTGTTCCAGACAATCTCACAGTCAAGTACAGCCAAGCCAGGCCCAATCTTGCTTGGTTTCTGTGATCAGACGAGATAGGGAACTTTCAACTTCAAGATCACTTTTTGGATGCCTGAAAGGCATCTTTGTAATTACTTGAATGAGAAATAATAAACGAACAAGGGTTTCCCCCCTAAGTTTGGATCAGTATCAGCAGACTTGTTGATAATGTTGCTGTTTGCTTACAAGTTTTTTCCCCATTTATGGTGGGCCTAAGGTGAACCCTTGGAGTCCCTGGTGGCACAGTGGGTTAAACCACTGAGCTGCTGAACTTGCTGACCAAAAGGTTGGCGGTTCGAATCCGGGGAGCAGGGTGAGCTACTGTTGTTAGCCCTAGTTTCTGCCAACCTAGCAGTTCAAAAACATGCAAACGTGAGTATATCACTAGGCACCGCTCTAGTGGGAAGGTAGCACCGCTTCATGCAGTCATGCTGGCCACATAACTTTGGAAGTGTCTACTGACAACGCCGGCTCTTCGGCTTAGAAATGAAGACGAGCACCTCCCCCCAGAGTCAGACATGACTAGACTTAATGTCAAGGGGAAACTTTTAAGGTGAACCTTTTCACAAGACTTACTCTGCTGTGGTTTAATTTTATGGATGCAACAGCATTACCATGCTCAATCTACTTGAAAAGTACAGCTGGTGACAACAATGCTTCTTCTTGGAGAGATCTGGATGTGAGCTCAGGATTTCACTTACCTTCACTGATTACATTCTTCATCACACTTTGCCCCTTGGGCGCCTCTTCAGTATTGGACCGGAACAAAGTTCGGGCTCCCGCATTCTCCTCGTGCCTCATGCTGCAGTCTGTCATGTCTCGGAAAATCTTATCCTTCTCCTCCAGCAGCGTTATGATTTGCTGATCTTTTTGCTGGAGCTGTTCTGTGGGGCGAGCAGGCCAGGATTTGGGGGAAGAAGGAAAAGGTCAGTCAAAGAATTCTTACAGAACAAGGAACGCTACTTGGATTCCTTTGGGTCGAGTTATCTCTGGGGCTCTACCGCCACACTGTGAAGAGTTAGGGAATTGCTGACAGGGAGTTTCTACAGAAGAGACTGTGTCTCAAAATGAGTGGGAGAAGCCAGCCTGAGACTAGACCAATCTCACATACTTGGATACACAATGCATGTTACTACTGAGATTTCCCTAGACTTTCAAAGAGACATCTTTCCAGCGTTCTGTGGCAATAACTGTGTATGAAATGTGGAAGTTCTATGTTAAAATCCCTTTCTAGGTTCAATTCCGACCTTCTTTAAAGTTCTGCGCAGCACGCTTCTTTATCTCTGACTTCATGGGAAAGTCTGTACATTTCAGAGTTGTGGAAGAGAGAATCTATGCCTACTATCAAGGGGTCACTGACTTTCCCAAAGATGGAGATATTCTACATCCCCATCTAAGCAAAGCTTTATTTGGATTCGTTCAGAGTGGAGACTGACAAATATCTTCTTAAATGTTCTCCCAGGGAAGAAACTAAGGACACATCTCAGTTTTTGATTAGATTAAAACCAGGTCCAAGTTATTGATTGGCTATGAATTTGGTACTTGAAGCATAGTTTATACCAAGCCAGAACGTTCTTTGTTTTTACCTTTCAGTTCCCTTGCTTTGGTGTCCAGCACACGTTTTTCCTCTTCTGATTCGCTGGGTATGCCTTCATCTTCTTCTTTATCCCTGATGAGAGAGAGCCAGACAGAGTGAGAATACAAACTTTAGCCTCTAAAATGAAAATATACATATTTATTTATTTATTATTTATTTATTTACTGTATTTGTATACTGCCTTTTTCAGCCCGAGGGCAGCTCAAGGCAGTCAACAGGGCAAAATTCAATGCTTACAATGTCATAAATACAATTAAAAACATAGCATATAATAAAAACTAAACAAATCAATAAAATATAAATTCATAGTGTCTCCTTCTTAAAAATGTTCGGACTCATTGTCTATTTGTTCCATTTTGCTGTGTCAGTTACTCTGCATTTGCAAACACTTGTTCAAAAAGCCACGTCTTGACTTTTTACCAGAATGTTACAAGGGAGGTGCCCAATCTAATATCTATAGGAGGGTGTTCCACAGCCGAGGGACCAGCACCGAGAAGGCCCTGTCTCTCGTCTCCGTTAAACGTACTTGTGATGAAGGCGGTAACAACAGCAGGGCCTCCTCAGACTATCTTAAGGTCCTAGAGGGTTCATAAGGGGAGATGCATTCGGACATGTAAGTTGGGCCAGAACCGTTTAGGGCTTTATAGGCTAAAGCTAACACTTTGAATTGTGCCCGGTAGCAAACTGGCACAAACATAAGAACATAATATAACAGAGCTGAATGAGACCATAAGGGCCACCCAGTCAAACCCCCTGCTATGGAGGATTATTTATGGATGATATCCAACATCAATAAAAGTAGCCTCTATTAACAACAACAACAAAAACAACAACAACAACAAGATTTAACTAAAAAAGCACACTATCACATTTAGGGTTCACATGCCCTTCATAACAGACTTCTGGCCCCAAGTAGTAAGCTATCCCAAATTGCTAAACAAAAAATAGTATGTTAATGAGACTTGTTGCCACTTTCCCTCTTTGTGAGAAAGAGTAACAACAGCAACAACAACAAACAACAATCTTTATTCATACCCTACCACCATCTCCCGAGGGACTCAGGGCAACTCACAAAGCACTCAATAGTGCAAGTGCTTAAAACACAACAACTACACAAACACTAACACAAAAGCAATAACAACAATATAATATCACAAAACCCCACTAGTTAAAATCAATAAAATGGATCTTAAGGATCTTAAGCATCTCTCTGCGTGTCTAATCACATATATTTCTATCTGGTTTCAATTTTTTGATTGCTAATCTCATGTAAATACCACTTAGTTCCTTACATAGTGTTAATTGTGTCTTGGATGGTGAGAATCCAGCTGTTGCGCTCCTCCTTGGAGCTGGCATGGACTTCCACCATTTCCGGGTCTTTTCCTCCCATGCTGATCAGAAACAAGCCTTTCTCCTCATGGGCCACTTCACGGACAATCAGTTTCTTCAATGAGATTACAGTGGATTTTTGATCCTTTTGTTGGGCAGAGAGAAGAAGAGAGAAGAAAGGCAATTAAAAATATTATGTCACCTTTGTACTGAATTAATACCACTAATATTGAAGAATGGTGAGAAAAGGACCTTACCAGAGAGGCAAATATGTATTTCTGGTCCTTTTCCTGGAGGAATATCAGGACATCTGAGAGGAGTACAGCCAGAACCTCTGGCAAGGAAGAAAAAAAACACACACACAATCAAATCATGCTACAAAACAATTCCACTTCTGTACAAAGCAGTACAACTGGTATGTTCTCTTTTAAATTATCCTGTAGACTGTTTTGTGTCCCATTTAAGAAAAAGGCTGTCCATAAATCAAATGAAAAAATTTTCAAAGTTGTTTTTTTAAGCAAACTATACGTGTCTATAAGTGGGGTTGTGATTTCAAGGGGTGCCTAAGTGCAAAAGATAAGATTGCGGCATGTTCACGAGGCTCTACTTTATCAAAAATGCAGGAGAAAGGATACATAGAGACAGTTTTCCTCACCTTTCGATCGACCAGCTGCATTTTTCAGAGAGACTGGTCCATCCCGGACAAACCTCCTGCGTCTCAGGTCCTCTCTGGCAAACATCTGCCCGCTCTTCATTCTCATGATGGACTTGCTGTCTGTTCGGGTATAGATTTCATTGAGGCGCATCTTCTTCTCATAGTTGCTGACTTTGCTATCCACAGCGGTGATGACCTCCTTCACCAGGTTGAGGGAAAGCACCAGATCCTGATGTTCAATGTCGTTTTCTTAAACACAACGAAACGCACGCTTTAGTTCTTTTTTGCCCCTCTGATGTACAGAAAATTACTGTGTCGCAAAATGATGCAAGTCTATAAAGTGTGTTACCAACGTGAAATGTCTGGAAAGCTCTGGTCTATGAGGAACAGCGACGAAAATATGTATGCATTGTCACAACTGATGCACTGAACTCTAGTAGCTCAACCCAGGGAAGAATTACATGGAAAAACAACACGAAGGTGCGATGTGTTTCAGAAGTGCCCAAAATTAAGGTGACTAGCAGCATCATGCCGCTCTCTGACAGTTATGGGTCAGAACTTACTCTGTTTCCTCTTCTACTTGTTGTAGACATGTGGGTCTATGCAAGCAGTGGGTTACAGTGATTTCCTGCCTTTGGGTCTCCAAGTATTTTGGACTTTTATTCCCAGAAATCCCAGCTAGTTTACTAGCTGTTAGGAACTGCAGGAGCTGAAGTCCAAAACACCTGGAGACTCAAAACTTGGCAACTTGGTAATTTATGGGATTAACATAATTCAAAAATGAATTGACACCAAATTTTGACACAACACACCTATCAGGCCAACAAGTGACCATCACTCATAAAAACACTGAAAAACACAGCAGAAGAGACTTAAAAAGCCAAAAAATAAAAATACATTACAACGCATGCACAAAACCACACATATATACGTAAACACAAATATATATACATATTATACACAGCAACGTGTTGTACGGGATGGCTAGTAAGCTATATAAACTTGGAAACCCAACCAATGTGGGCTCTGGCTCCATTCTGTATTAAATTTGCCTCTGCCCACCAATTACTGTGATGTCCAAAGGCCATTTCTATGTGCCCATGTACTGGCACTCTCATACAAACCTAACTCATACAATCAAAACAAACACATTCAAATATAGAAACAATACACTGAGAATATCAATGTAAAGAGTGCTTCAGTGAAACTTTAGTTTCCAGGCACAATGAATGATACTATTGTCGAGGTTTAGATTTGCCATCCACCCACCATGCTGAAAAACAAAAGGACATTCAAGCATTTCCACAAGGCAGATCTCTTATCCCAGATTAATAAAGTCACATCCATAGATCCTCTTCTGAAATGGGAGGAAGACTCATTAGACCACTACTCAGAGAAGGATCTACCTTTTGTGTGCTGCAGTATTCTCTGTAATAGGACTGGGTATTTCGTGATTCTCTGCGTCACTAGCAAGATGCACTCAGGAATCCCCAGGCGCCTCACGACAGAGCTGCTCATCTTTTTCTAGAGAAGGAAGAACACGCTTGGTAGAAAGAAAGACAGCATGGCGGACACAGATAGCCCTCACTTAAACTATTCCCATGCTCCAATTTATGAGAAATTGTTTTTTGTTTTTTTGTTTGCAAATGATCACAAGCAATTAACAATCTGCTTTCTTAAGGATAGGGAACATGTCATTCTGCAGGTGTCCTTGCAATCCAACACCCAGCAGCCCGAGAAGATGGAAATTATAATCTGGTTACATCTCATTACAAGACCCACATATAATAACTGGGTAACTTCTGGGTTCTACAAGCTGAATCTATGCTTGAAAGTCCAGTTTCTGGCATATTATTCCCTGTCCCAAATCACGTTTCTAAAGCTCAAAGTAAACAGGTAGTTAGAGAAACAACAACTGTCATCTTTTCAGTTTGGTGACCCAATAATGCCTTTAATTTATTCCTTCCATAATACATTATCCCTATTTACAGTATATATTGTATTTATTATATGTTAAGGCAGCATTAATTGTATGACAATTTCAGTACCAATAGAAAACATTATATATATGTGCACCTATGATTCTGAGGAACACCCTTTAAATGACATGAATTCTACAGTGTTGAGCAGGCATGGATAAACTTTCTAACTTGGGAGCCGCATGATAGCATTCCCTGCTAAGAGGACTGGCTGCCCACTGATGGATGGAAGGAAGGAAGGAAGGAAGGAGAGGAAGGGAAGGATGGGAGGAAAAAGAGGGAGAGGGGGAAAGTGGGAGGAAAGAGGGAAGGAAGGATGAAAGGGTGGAAGAGAAGGATGGATGGATGGGAGGGAGGGAGGAAGGTAAGGAGGAAGGAACGAGAGAAGGAAGGAAAGACAAAAGAGAAGGAAGGAAGGGAAGGATGAAAGGGTGAAAGGGAAGGATGGAAGGAAGGGAAGGAGGAAGGAAAGAAAGAAGGAAGGATGAAAGGGTGGAAGGGAATGGAGGGAGTGAGAAAGAGGGAGGGAGGGAAGGAAGGAAAGAAGGGAGGAAAGAGAGAAGGAAGAAAAGATAAAAGGGAAGGAAGGAAGGAAGGAGAAAGGGAGAGAGGGAAGGAGGAAATAGGGAAGGAAGGACGAAAGGGTGGAAGGGAAGGAAGGATGAAGAAAGAGAGATGGAAGGAGGAAAGGGAGGGAGGGAAGGAAGGATAAAATGGTGAAAGAGAGGAGACCTTGAGAAAAGAGCCCAAGGGGTTTCATCCAGCCCCCAGGCCTGGATTTATCCATATCTGGTGTAGAAACACCTGAAAAATGCCCCACCTCCTTCTGCTTACCTTGATGAATGCTTGGAACCGTTTGTCCTTGGATAGCAAGTCTTTAAAATAATTCACTGCCTCGTTGTGATGCCCACAGAACTTGCCATAGGTTTTCTTCATTCGTTCGGCATTTTCCCCAGAAAACTGCAAGATGGAGAACATTAAGATACTCCCAATGGCCTGAGAGCAAGGAAGGCAACCTCCTAACAGTCAGAGGCTCCATCAACACAGTTCTAGAATCCTGTGCTGGAAGATGAACTGTTGGGCTGTTGCACTAGTTTTATGTCTTTGCAAAAGACTTTTGAGATTTCTACATATTTCCTGACTTCTATACAGCTGGAATTAATTAAAATGTATTTGTTCTGATTGACATACACATTCATATTAAGAATTTGAAGATAGAAGAAGATACAAGAATGTATCTTGTTTATAACTTGGGAACTGCCTGTATTATGTTTAGTAAATGCCATCGAGATTAACCCACACAGATCCTTCCTGCTGTTTACCTGGTTCACTAGGATGTCCCCTATCCTTTTGATTACAAAGTTCACGTCACTTCTGTCTGACAGAGATTCCTTTTTCCTCTCTAAAATTCGCTGAAAGAATTGACTGTGGATGTTTATCAAGTCATCCAGGCAAGGGAAGATTTTCTCCACCATGTGCGGCTCATACTGCAGGTCCTTCACCATTCCTCTGCTGTAGACGTCACTCATAATCTTCAAGGTGCGAACATGGTGCATCTCTGTCTGCATCAGTTCTGCAGACAAGGAATAGAGAAGGGTGAATAAATGCAAGGTGCATGCAACAGGCTCAAACCCATCAAAGCAAAGACAAACATGGCACTGGTCTGAACATTCCATTGCACGCAGCTTGGCTTCAGTTGAGAAAATGAAGCCAAGCATATACGTATATCTTACTCATTACAACCTGCATGATCAGAAAAAAATTAAAATAATGCAGCTTCCAGGCATTAGAAAAGGAAAATAAACCATTAAATAAAACAAGACAACGTAAATCAAGAGCAAAGAAGGAAACATGCTAGTGTACAAACAAACAGCAGAGCACTAGCAAGACCTGTTTAACTACAAAACAATTTTGAATAATTCTTCGTAAAATCATGCAAAGCAGAGTAGCTTCCGAATGAGATATTCAGCAATGTGAAAAGCAATTCAATAACATTTTCTTTGCCTTTCCTGTGATTAAAAGATTGAGAAATATGCCAAGTGAGAGAGATATGCCATAACTTCTGCTGACGTATATGCTGCCGCAGAATATTTTTTTCTCTGGTTGCAGCATTTAGATTGACTGGTTTTTACTTCTACCACAAGGCTCACCATATATGACATCTTGCCTCTTCACCACATTCCCCTTTTGCTGATGGAGGAATTTGCTGTCTACTACTTGACTCCAAGACTGGGCTTCCAGCTGCCTTGAATCAGACTCAAAATCTCCCATGAGCTGACCTTCATTCATATCTGCACCTAGAAAAGGGAGAAGATGGTTTAGATATACGGTTCTGGCACAGCTTACTTGTCCGAACGCATCTGCCTCTACGTCCCACCTCATAACTTAAGATCATCCGGGGAGGCCCTGCTCTCGCTCCTGCCAACATCACAAACATGGCTGGCGGGGACAAGAGACAGGGCCTTCTCAGCTGTAGCCCCCCGCCTGTGGAATGAGATTCCAAATTAAATACGATAGACCCCATCCCTCCTGGCGTTGAGGAAGAAATTAAAATCTTGGTTTGGGACCAGGCTTTCGGATAAAAAACATAAAGCAGCACTTTGACTGGAAATGGATTGGCTCCAGCAGCCAAAATATGACCACCTGTTCGTTGTAATTTCAGCTGACACTGTTTTGCATACCCTAGGCTATTACCAGCAAAAATGAGCATTCATTAGTATTATTATATATCATGCATTACAGCATAATACAAAAAAGTGTACAAAAAAAGCATTATATGTCATAGACAGAAAACCATGAGAATGATCAGAATGGGCCAGTTGAGAGGATTCTGGTAAAAATAAATAGAGAAAAAGGCAACTGCAACACCAGGGTTGGACTTCATTAGAGGCAAGCAAAAAAGAGCTAGGGGAAGATGCTTTTCAGAATCCAATCTCAGAAAACTCATAGTTATGGGTGACTTCAATTACTCGCTTATCTACAAGGATATTAACTGCGCTAAGCACAGGTTCTGCAACAAATTCCTGAAGTGCCTTGCAGACAATGTCTTATTTCACAAAGTAGAGGAAGGAAAAGGGGGATCAGGAGGCCTGGGCTTGCTCCTAACCCATAGGGAGGAGCTGGTCATTTGAATCAAAGCAGCAATTTAGGGGGAAGTGACTACGTAATGTTAGAATTTGCAATAATAGATAGGGCAAAAAGTACAGACAAACACGGATGTTGGATTTCAGTTAAAAGCTGGTTTAAACAAAATCAGGAAATAATTGAATGAAACCCATGGCTAGACAGGCTAAGCAGGCATGGGCAAGCTTTCCAGTTTGGGGGCTACTTGGTGGGCCAGAGCAGGGTGGGCGGGGCGGGTGGAAGGGGGTTCTCCCTAAGCGCTCTCCCTGCCCTTTCCTTCCCTTCCTCTTCTCTTTCAGAGATAGAAAATGAAGGAAACATTTGGATTCCCAAAGGGTTGGCCTTTGTCAGGATGAGATGGTGAATAGGAGAGAAGAAGTGTATCCATTAGACCCCATATTGCCTAATCCTGATATATAATCCTAGAATCCTAGAGCTGGAATGAACCCCCAAGGGTCATCCAGTCCAACCCCCTGCCATTCAGGGAGGCACAATCAAAGCACTCCCAATAGACAGACTCTGCGGAAAAGCCTCCAGAGAAGGAGACTCTACCACACTCCGAGGCAGCCTATGCCACGCTCCAGGAAGTTCTTCCTAATCTTTTCAGTCAAAACTCTTTCCCTGTCATTTGAAACCATTGCTCCCTTTACCTTGGTCTTTAGAGCTGCAAAAAGTCAGTTTCCTTCCCCTTCTTCCTCAATGGGACCCACTTAATGGTTCTCACATTCCCTCACTAGCTTCTCTTCCCCCAGCTAAACATCCCCAGGAGGAAGGAAAAAGAGAAGGGAGTGAGGAACAGAAGTGGAAGGAAGGGTGGAAGGGAATGGAGAGAGAAAGTGAGGGAGGAAGGAAGGAAAGGCAAAAGGGGAGGAAGGAAGGAAGGAAGAGGGGGAAGGAGGGAAGAAAGGGAGAAGGAAGGACAAAAGGGTGGAAGGGAAAGAAGGAGGGAGGGGCAGGAGAGAGGGAGGGAGGGAGAAAGAGAGAAGGAAGGAAAGGAAGGAGAGAGGGAGAGAAGGTGGAAGGAAAGAGAGAAGAAAGGAAGGGGAGGGGAAGGAAAAGGGAAAGGGGAAGGGAATGAAAGGATGGTAAGACAGAGGAGGGCCTGAGAAAAGAACCCAAGGGGCCGCATCCGGGTTTGCCCATACCTGGGCTAAAGGAAAAACACAACCAACAAAGGTGGAAGGTGTTAAAGAAGGAGTTGCAAAAAGCATAAAACCCATTTGTTGTGAGGCACAGAGGTCACAATGAACAATTTCAGATTGTCTTGGATGTATGGGATAATGAGACAAAACACTGAAAACTAATGTGTCAGAGAATGAGTTTCTCACTCTTGAATTTTGTTTTCTATACTCATAATGTATATAAAACAAAAGGCATTCCATTAAGTGATTTCCTCCTGAAGTCTGACAGAATGCTTCCTTGTCACAGGAAATACTAGACATCTAAAGTCATTGCACAAATCACAAGGATCTGCTGTACTGCAATTTGGATGACAGGTAGGGATGTCACTTGTTTTTGCTCTTCTAGTATTGCAAAGCCACCTTGAGTTCTTCATTTATTTTTAAATCCTGCTTATAGAAAGCCTGTCATTATCACAACCCAATGCATATCATTCGAGTAATTTACCTTCATCTGTTAATGACTCTGTGGACTCATTTACCCGGCTGATTTTATTCAAGGAGTCTGTTGATTGGGAGAGGAATTTCCACGTGTGGAGAATGCTTTCGTCACTTCCAACTCTGTAGGAACAAAGGCAGAGAGCAGGTTATTCCAAATTTTGTGCCAGAATAACAAGTTTATTAGAGAGGCGGATGAGCTCCCTCTATCAGCTCCAGCTCCTCATGCGGGGACACGAGAGAAGCCTCCCACAAGGATGATAAAAACATCAAATCATCCGGGTGTTCCCTGGGCAACGTCCTTGCAGACGGCCCATTCTCTCACACCAGAAGCGACTTGAAGTTTCTCAAGTCGCTCCTGACACGACAAAAAAAAATAGAGAATGGGCTCTGGGAAGTGTAAGAAGGGTGCACTTTGTAGCAGTGAATCTGGCAGCAGCCTGTCTCTTCTACCCTGCTTCCCACCATGAGCAACGGTTTGAAATTTCCAATTGGTTCATAGTGGGAGACAGAGAGTTTGAAGACTGGATTGTCTAATTTGGGTGAAAAAACTCATTTTCATGGAGAGTCACATCAAGCTTGCAATTGCCTTCAAATGGCTGTTGATGCAGAGGATCAACTATCGTTTTGTTTTACCCAGTAGTTGGTAAATTTGGATTTGGATTCCCAGATATTACTGAACAACAACAACTATCACTTTTCATTATTCACCATGCAGACTAGGGATAATAGGAAGTATCATCCAACAGCACTTGTGGCTCTGAGGCTGGGGAAAAGGTAAAAGGACATTTTAAGTCAGACGTCATATCCGAAAGCTTTGTTTCCAAGTCCGAATTCCACTATCCTGACTAAAGGGAACACATTGCAGCCTTCCAGAAGTTACTGTGTCCCAATTCCCATCAGCTCTATGAGGAATACAGGAGTTATAGTCCACCAGCTTGAGGGCCACATAAAATGGCACACCGGCCCAAATTTGGCCCACGGAACTTGCATTGGACATCAGTGCTGCCTCCGGAAAATCCTGCAAATCTCTTGGGAAGACAAGCGGACAAGTGTCAGCGTGCTGGAAGAAGCAAAGATCACCAGCATTGAAGCAATGGTCCTCCGCCATCAACTCCGCTGGACCGGCCACATTGTCCGAATGCCTGACCACCGTCTCCCAAAGCAGCTGCACTATTCCAAACTCAAGAACGGAAAACAGAATGTTGGTGGACAGAAAAAGAGATTGAAAGATGGGTTCAAAGCCAACCTTAAAAACTCTGGCATAGACACTGAGAACTGGGAAGCCCTGGCCCTTGAGCACTCTAGCTGGAGGTCAGCTGTGACCAGCAGTGCTGCAGAATTTGAAGAGGCACAAATGGAGGGTGAAAGAGAGAAATGTGCCAAGAGGAAGGCGCGTCAAGCCAACCCTGACCGAGACCGCCTTCCACCTGGAAACCAATGCCCTCACTGTGGGAGAAGATGCAGGTCAAGAATAGGGCTCCACAGTCACCTACGGATCCACAAGAATACTGATCCTGGAAGACTATCCTACTCGTCCAACGAGGGATCACCTAAGTAAGTAAGTCTATAAGTTATAGCCTTTATTATTTATTTTCCCATATTTAACAAGAAAAGCCAAGAGCATGTCTTTCACTTGCTCTTTTTTGGAGCAGTTAACTCCAAATCTACCTCCTCTCGCCATGTATGTATTTGTGCCAAATGTCCACCCAAAAGAGAATGAATCTTACCCAGCAATGTTTTGAATGGAGACGCTTTTAGAAAGGGCCAGGTTCTGCTGGGATCGCCTATTACTGAACAAGGAGGTCACATTGCTTTCGTCTGGAGCCAGTATGGCAGATCGAGGTCTCTCCTTTGGCTGTGAGGCTGCAAAAGGAACAACAATCAGGATTAAGGAGCAAGCTTAGGGAGATGCTTTTCAGAAACCACTACAACCAGAATGTTTATATGCTCAAATAGAAGCAGAATAAAGAAAGTATTTTGATTGGTTTGAGCCATCTCTTGATGTAAATATTGGCTGACAAGGGCTTTTTTTGGGAATTTTAAGAGTTCAACCATCAGTTCTAAATATATCTGGGAAATCTTATGCTAAATAAAATATGCAGAATTAATCAAGAGCATGGGCATTTCTGATCACCACAAGATCAACCATACCCAGCTCTTTTATGAGCTCCTGATAAGTTATTTATACGCAAAGCAATACAAATGAACATAAAACTGGCTTCAGGAAAAATCTGGTTTCTGCACTGTGTCAGTGGCTGTTGTGAGGAACCAAGTCAGCTCTGTTTTCTATGGTTTGCTCTTCTCATGGGAATAGACTACTGCAACGTGCTCTACATGGGGGTTGCCTTTGAAGACTGTTCAGAAGCTTCAAGTGGTTCAACGGGCGGCACCCAGATTCCTCACCGGAGCAGTGTACAGGGAACACACAGCTCCCCGGTTATGTCAGCTCCACTGGCTGACGGTCTGCTACTGAGCACAATTCAAAGTGCTGGCTTTAGCCTATAAAGCTCTAGACGATTCTGGCCCAGCATAACTATCTGAATGTATCTCCCTCTATAATCTACCTCAGAAGTGAAGAGCATCTGAGGAGGCCCTGTTCTCGATCCCAACCACACTTTGCAGGTGTGGTTGGTAGGTATGAGAGACAGGGCCTTTTCAGTGGTGGCCACTCGTCTATGGAACTCCCTCCCAGCATAATTAGATCAGCTCCTTCCCTCCTGACCTTTAGGAAAAAACTAAATTGTATTGAATAATATGCATCTGTTGTAAAACAATGTATAACAAATGTATTGAACTATGATAAAATAATAAAAAAATTAAAGAGGATAAACTAAAAGTATGGCCATGGGACCAACCAAGTTTTTGGTTAGTAACATGCAATCAGTGAAATAAGTGAATACGAAATAGGACAATGACAAAAGGAACGGCTCTGGATTATGATTTTGGACTACATGGTTTTGATTATTGGTTTTAATGTTGATGTTTTAACATTGTGGATTTGAATATATTTGTTTATTTTGTTGAATGTACTTCTGCAGCATCGCATTGTTGCCTGTTGTAAGGCTGCTCTGAGTCCCCTCCAGAATGAGAAAGTTGGGGTATAAATGTGGTAAATAAATAAATGTCTTTAGATCTGTAACAAATCACCTGCTCAAGAGTTCTGTCGAAATCAAAGGCAGATGTTCCTATTGCAAAATTGTACACTTATCCAAAGCAAAGCACTACTTGCTCATCAGCTTAGACCACCAAGACACCATAACATAAAAGTACACTGGTGAATAATAAAATTACCAGATTTTGAGAAGCTGCTCAAAGATGGGGGAGAAAGAAAAAAAGGCTACTCACTCTTACTTCTCATAATGACAGTGGGCAACGAGGAAGTATCATGTGCCTGAAGGCCTCCTTTCTGGAGCTGAAAGAAAGATCGGGTAGGATAAATTTCTTTGTATTTGAAGTGATTACTAGAAGATTAAATATGTATGTGTATACACACATATATATACTATACGCACATACACAAGTGGACACCTATCTCAAAATTGTGTTTTGAGAAAATGATATTCAAAGGAAAACAGGAAAATATTTACCTTCATTTTGACCTTGGCACAAGCAGCTAAACTCTCCTTGCAGCTTTTATGGACAATGACGCCACAGCCTGTGTAAAAGAAAAAGCACAGCATACATTACATATATATATATATATATATATATATATATATAATATTTCACTTTGTGAGTAGATTTTGTACATTTAATACAAACATGTCATTTATAACCACATTTCTCCACCCTCTTCCATTTGCTCACACTTCATCCAGTCTACATTATCCACTTCTTAATCTATTTTATCTTAGTTCTGTTTGTTTTTGTTTTTCCCGTCCCCTCCCCTCCCCYCACCCCAAACCCATACCACAATTTCCATTAGAACTTTAACTCCATCCATGAGCTCAACTTTTCCAATCTCCATACAATATTTACATTGGCTTCACCTCTTATTCATTCCGAATATAGCAACCATTTCTCTTTAAATTTTCTGATTTTATCTTCCTTCTTATCCTCACAGGTTACATTTGCAATYATTTCTGATTGGATCTGATCAAACAAATAATTGTTCCAATTTACCCATATTCCATTTTTAAAAAATATTTCCAACCCCAAGCTATTACAGCCTTCCCTGCAAGAATCATTGCTTTGAATAAATCTTGATATTTTACATTGATCTTATTGTTTCCTAATATTCCTATAAACATCAGCTCCARATTTACTTGACATGGTCTTTTAAATATTTTCTCCATTTTTTYCTGTTATTTGTTCRCAAAATGTTTTTGCCTTTGGATATTACCACCATATGTGAGCATYCCATCCTTTGCTTAATTCAGTGCCAAAATGTTGAATTTCTACCATTTGATAGTTGTGCTAGGGTGCAATATCARTTCCATTTCCAAATACATTTCCTTTCAATTTCTTTGTACGTCTCTATTTTGATTTTCCTAGCCTCTCTTTTAAAGTCCTCTATCATTTGTCTGGGCTATATTTTAGGGTACTGTTCTCCAACACATAATACCTATGTATCCTGTTTGATTTTTGGATGCTCTGCTATATTTTAGGGTATACACAAACCCTAATACCCAATACCTATGTCCTGTCTCACCTCTACTAAAGAACTACAAGCAGAACTAATTTGTTTTGCATGCTGAGTAATAGCATACTTGTATGTGTCTTCAAGTTGCCTGCCCAGTTATGGTGAACCCATTACGTGAAAGGGTTTTCTTAGGCAAGGAATACTCAGAGGTGGTTTTGTCACTTCCTTCCTCTGAAATATAGCCTGATTTTCATTGGCAGTCTCTGCCATGGAGCAGTCATGCAACACTGAGGAAAATGCAATCTAGTATCTAGACAAGAAAAGCACTTATTCAAGCCATTATTTGCTTGAGGGCAACCGTCAGCCTATATTGTGTCTGGGCAAACTTTGGCCCTCCGAATGTTTTGGACTTCAACCCCCACAATTCCTAACAGCCTAGTGGTTCTGCTGTGATCTTCTTGAAGGAGCAAAAACATTATTAACCAACTCTTCCTACCATTGGAGTTACTCATGGAACATTTGAGGGGAAGGGAAAAAAAGAAAGGAAGGAAGTTCACTGAAATTTCATTGTCATCATCAGTGTCAATAGTGCCTGGGCGCAGAGAGACTTTCCTCAACACGTCCTCATGTTTTCACTTGCGTCAATAGCAATAAACCAGCAAGTGCAGGTTTTCAGTTCAGGAATTTCACCCTAAAGGCACCACAGCTCAGCTTGGACTTTCAAAATAGGAGGTGATGTCTGTGTCTGCCTGCCTGTGAAGGGGGAATACTGAACTGTGTCACAATCTATGACTCAGGTGGAGCTCACCATCCCCATCCAGGAAAGAGAGCAGCCTCCTTTCATTCAAAGGCCTTGCTTGAACTCCAGTTTATTGGGGGTTGGCACGCCGACTTTCATGTCTATAGCAAGAGCCAGAATTTGCTGGTTTTCAATGGGAATTGTATAAGCAATGACCCACATCCCTTCTGTACCCCCCTCCCACCTCTGATCCCAGAAATCAACCAGCCAGTTTCAGTGCTCTTTTACTAAAAAGCTATACTGCTATTTTGAATCAAAACATTCCAACAAAGGCATTTATTTGTCCAATGCCCACTCCAGAGAGGACCACCTGGCATCTATGCCATAGTCTTTTCAGTGTCAAGTGATTGCTTTTTAAATTCTCCCGCATAATTAACTGCTTTTAGCAAATAGATCTTAGCACTCTTTCATTTTTCTGGTTATGATTTTACTACCCAAATCCAACTGCTAATCTCATCTAGATGCATTGAAGCAACTGTCCAAAGAGGCCGTGGTGGTGCAATGGATTAAACCATTGAACTGTTGAATCTGCTGGCCTAAAGGCTGACAGTTCAAAGTCGCGGGTCAGGGTGAGCTCTCACTATTAGCCCTAGCAGTTCAAAAGTGTGCAAATTTGAGTAGATCAAATGATATTTGGTAAGACCTAGACTACGATTGTTGGATTGTGCGATTTTAATGTTTATATCGATATGTTTTTAATCCCATGTTTTAATGTTAAATGATGTCATGTTTTATGATTTAATTGATAATTGTATATTAGTGTTAAGTTAAGTTTCTGTATAGGTAAAGGTAAAGGTTTTCCCCTGACTTTAAGTCCAGCTGTGTCCAGCTCTGGGGGTTGGTGCACATCTCCATTTCTAAGCCAAAGAGCCGGCGTTGTCCGTAGACACCTCCAAGGTTATGTAGCCAGCATGACTGCATGGAGTGCCCTTACCTTTCTGCTGGAGCGGTACCTATTGATCTCCTCACATTTGGATATTTTTGAACTGCTAGGCTGGCAGAAGCTGGGGCTGACAGTGGAAGCTCACACCACTCCCCGGATTCAAACCTGCAACCTTTCGGTCAACAAGCACAGCAGCTCAGCGGTTTAACCCACTGTGCCACCGGGGGCTCCAAGTTTCTGTATATGAGACATTAAATTTTGCGATAATTATGTTGAAAACTGCTTTGAAAAGTGGTATACAAGTAAAGTAAAGTATATCAATCAATCAATAGGTACCGCTTCGCCAGGAAGGTAATAAAGGAGCCCATGTAGCCATGCCGTCAACACTACCAGGAGGAGTCTACGGACAACAGGCACCTCGGCTTGGAAATGGAAAAAGAGCACTTCCCCATGGCCGGAGTTGAGCATCGCCTCCAGAAGCCCTTCTGTGTATTGGTTTGTCAATGTTATCTCACTGTATTAAAGGCATTGATTAAATATTATGTATATATGGATTGAGTGGAGATTAAATCTATTTCCCTCAAAGCTGCTAAGAGGCAGACTGTCTGGAATTCCCTACTCCCAAAGACTATGCCCCTGAAATAAAAACAACAGAACACTTTTTATTGCTGTGTTGTTATTACACAGTGCAATGTAGCAAACTTTTATATCCAATCCTGACCCGCATGAGGATTGTTAGATATCTTTTAGAGCAGTGGTTCTCAACCTGTGGGTCCCTAGGTGTTCTGGCATACAACTCCCTGGCATACAACTCACAATTCCCAGACAGTTTACCATCTGTTAGGATTTCTGGGAGTTGAAGGACAAAACATCTGGGGACCCACAGGTTGAGAATCACTGCTTTAGAGGTCAAGAGACATAGGGTGACTTTCATAGTGGCAGCAAGGCTGAGAAGCAACTGACCTCTGATAGGGGTATTACTTGAAGCCAAGTAGCTGTATCTTGTACAATGAGCTTCTCCTGAGATGGGAGAAGTTATAATGACTGTGTGTTTACTGAGGCATCTATGGGCCATAATAAATATTATTGTTGTTATTTTATATATAGACTAGCCACCCCCTACCGTGCGTTGCTGTGGTCCGGTCTGTGTATATGTGTTTTGTGTGTGTGTATATATATATTTGTGTACATATGTGTGTTTGCATATATATATATATATATATATATATATATATATATATATGTGTGTGTGTGTGTGTGTGTGTGTGTGTGTGTGTGTGTGTATATTTGTGTATTTGTGTGTTTATATGTGTGCATGCATATTGTGTATATGTGTATGCTCGTCTATATGCATATTAGTGTGTATATATGTATGTATGTGGATATGTATATGTGTGTGGATGTGTATATGTTTATATGTATGTGTGCATGTGTATATGTATATATGTGTGTATGTAAATGTATGTGCGTATATGTGTATATTTGTGCGCATATATAAGTGTGTGTGTATGAATGTGTGAATGTGCATATGTATATGAGTGTATGTATATATGGTGTATTTTTTGGGTTTCCAAGTTTGTTCCGCTGGGGTTTTGTGTGTGTGTGTGTGTGTGTGTGTGTTTATGGGTAATGGACACTCGTTGGACTGTTAGGCATCTTGTGTCCAAATTTCGTGTCAGTTCGACCAGTGGTTTTTGAGTTATGTTAATCCCACAAACGAGCATTACATTTTTATTTATATAGATTGTAGATTACAAATTTTTATGTATAAAAGGATATTGAAGTTGGGGTCACAATACATAAGCAAATTAGTAGTATGTTAGGGAAAAGATAGAAAAACCACCATTTTATAAAAAGAAATTGTTATTCGAATATTTGTTGTTAGATACTAACTCCAGATTTTGATAATTCATGGTTTTTTCCAGCTAAGGAAGTTAATGAACTGTATTAACAGAGAAGTTATTACATATAGTAAAATATGTGTCCATCAGAAAACTCAAAAGTGGAATGTATATTCCTCCCTTCCATTCTTTGGTGTGTATTTTTGTATCTATTGCTTTTGCTTTTTCCCTTTTCGTTGTTTGCTTATTTTTTTTCTCTGTTTTTACTACATTGGAACAAAGAGAAAAATGTAAAAATAAAAACAAATCTAATAAAAATAGTAAAAAATAGTAAAAAAGAACATGGCACTGAAAGAAGCCACTCACCTGAACAGGCAAAGGAATCCTTGTTAAAAGGCTTCATACAATGATAGCAACTGACAGGCCCCACCGTTGGGGTGGCGCTGAAGAGGTGTCCATTGACTGTCTTCTTGTCCTTGTCCTTTTCTTTGGAGTCTTTGTCCTTGTCTTTGATCCTCTCCTTGTCTTTCTCCTTTTCCTAAAAGAGAGCAGCAAAGGAGTTGAGAATACCAAAGAGGAAGGTTGTTTTGTCCTCCATTGTGGACGATGTGTCTTCCTTAGAGAGAAAGACTCAACTCAGAGTAAGCACCATCCAGAGACAAGGTGCCTGTGCAAAGCAACCACTGCTTTGAATACCAGATCTGCTCTCTTACCTTCTCTTCCCTTAAAGGCCAAGGGAAAAAAGTTCAGTTGTGAGTCATTGAGCCCAGACACCGAATGATGTTCATCCAAGTCTGAATCAACCCCCTGACCAATTCCATCAGTATTTACAGTTTCATTCAATAACATTGTATGAAGAAATGGGTGGGCTCTACCACTCTTGTGTAACCTTATCATCAGCCTTCCCTAATGTTGTTCTTTTCGAACACACTGGATTAAAACTCCCATCATCTCCAGCAAACATGTGGCTCAACCCTGTCATTCTGCTCTATGTGCATCTCTGTGCTATAGTCAACTTGGAGACTTGCCTAAGTGTGTGAAGGTGTTGTATGTTTTAATACAACACCCTCACACACTTAGGCAAGTCTCCAAGTTGACTATGGCACAGAGATGATGCAACTTTGAAATACACAATCTGAGAGCCTTTTGGAATTGAGGAATATGCTACTCTCATTTCTTTGTTACCTCCCTCTATGTCAGTGTTTTCCAGACTTTTCATGTTGGCAACACACTTTTTAGACATACCGTATATACTTGAGTATAAGTCAACTCGAATATAAGCCGAGACACCTAATTTTATCACAAAAAACTGGGAAAACTTATTGACTCGAGTATACGCCAAGGTGGGAAATGGAGTACCTACTGGTAAATTTAAAAATAAAAATAGTTATCAATACAATTACATTAATGGCGGCATCAGTAGGTTAAATGTTTTTGAATATTTACATAAAACTGTAATTTCAGATAAGTCTGTCCAATTCTGACTAAACCATTATTCTAACCTTCTTCAATGTAAATGTGCTTATGGAGCCTTCCAATAATAAGAACAAAGTATAATAAAATGTAATAATAGAATAATAATAGAATAAAATAGTGGAAATGTAAAAATAACAGTAAAATAATAAATGTAATAATAATAGTAATAGAGTAAAATAATGTAAATGCAATAATAATAATAATAATGTAAAATAATAAATGTAATAATAATAATACATAGAGTAAAATAATAAATGTAAAGTAAAGGTTTTCCCCTGACATTAAGTCCAGTGATTCTGGGGGATGATGCTCATCTCCATTTCAAAGCGGAAGAGCCAGCATTGTCCGTAGACACCTCCAAGATCATGTGGCTAGCATGACTGTATGGAGCTCCGTTACCTTTCCGCCAGAGCGATACTTATAAATCTACTCACATTTGCATGCTTTTGAACTACTAGTTTGGCAGAAGCTGGGGCTGACAGCGGGAGCTCCCCGGATTCAAACTTGTGACCTTTTGGTCAACAAGTTTAGCAGCTCAGCGGTTTAACCCACTGCGCCACTGGGGGCTCCAATGATAACAATAATAATAGAGTAAAATAATAAATGTAATAATAATAATAAATAGAGTAAAATAATAAATGTAATAATAATAATAAATAGAGTAAAATAACAACTTTAATAACTATAATAAATATAGTAAAATAATAAATGTAATAATAATAATAATAATAATAATAATAACAGAGTAAAATGATAAATAATTTTGACTTGAGTATAAGTTTGGGGGGGGGGGGCTTTTTCAGCCTTAAAAAAGGTCTGAAAAACTCTGCTTATACCAAGTATATACTGTACATCATTTTGCGATGTCATTCAATTTTACCAGCAAAAAGGGGGTTAAAACAACCTTTTTATAAGAGATACAGACACAAATTGTAATAACATAAAGTTTGGGGATACAACAAGACCTGAAGGTTCTAAAGTTAATCAAGAATTAATTAATTATACTAACTTGCAAGAATTACAGTAACAGACACAACTACACATTAATGTGTTGCAACACAGAGTTTGGAAAGCTCTTCTCAATTGACTGGGGATGCTATATATTGAATCTATATATGCAAGAAGACTCTTTCAAGATTTGGAGAAGAGGTCAACCAAAATTTCTTAATTTTTAAATAAAACGAAGGCTTGGACTGGGCCAGGAAACTACTTTATTTTCACTTGTGTTGACACTTAAACTTACGCTGTGTCTCAGAAAGGAAGGCATCTTACCCAACCTGCTACAGTGAGTCTTCCTGGATTTTTATGACTCACGTTTTGCTGAAAACTGGTTGATTCTCCCTATTTTTTCTGGTTCTTCTTTCCATGGATAATCTTTATGGGGTGAAGTGGAGATGCTGTGTGTTTCGTCAATACTACTGCATGACAACAGTTAACTACAGGGCAGTTGGAGGCAGGAGAGTGGAAGGGAAGATAAAGGCAGCTTTGCAATCCTCTTGAGGAAACCCTCGGAGACCCCTGGGTGACACATGCAAATTCACCCATGCACATGTAATAGGAAATGCAAAGCTTGGTCTCTCTCCTGCTCTCTCTCGGCTCTGTCTCCGGAAGCACAGCACATGCTGACAATCCCAATTGCAATCCCTCAAGGCTGTCTTATCTGCCTCTTTTCTAGCACTACATTCCAAAATGAGAAGACAACGTCATAAAGAGCAACCCACAAAAAACCATTTGAGCTTGTCGAAAGCAGCCGTCCTTCCCAGCACATCTACGTAAGGCTTGAACTACATAGGATGAAAATGAACAAAATCTGGCTACCAGTATTAAAAATACTCTAAAACCAGGATAGTAAATAAAGAGCAACACTCAAAAAAAGCAGGGGAATTCCAGACAAGAATCAATCAGGGCCAGCTAACACATCCCAACAGGAGCCCCCGGTGGCGCAATCCTTGTGCTGGCAGGAGTGCTGACCAAAAGGTTGGTGGTTCGAATCCAGGGAGCAGGGTGAGCTCCCTTCTGTCAGCTCCAGCTTCTCATGAGAGAATAATAATAATAATAATAATAATAATAATAATAATAATCTTTATTTATACCCTGCCACCATCTCCCCAAAGGGGACTCGTGGCGCTAACATGAGGCCAAGCCCAAAAAGTTAAACACAACAGAAAAATTAAATCACAACAAAATACATGAAGTAACAAAATAAAATAAACAGTGCAAAACATAATAAAAATCAGCCTTCCACACGATGGTAAAACATCTGGGCATCCCCTGGGCAATGTCCTTGCAGACAGCCAATACTCTCACACCAAAAACAACTTGCGGTTTCTCAAGTTGCTCCTGACATGGAAAAAGACCTCCCAACAAAGGATTCTTCCCGGCAGCAACTAGCCAGGCTTTGAAGCTCCAAGGCCATTAAATGCTAATCAAGCTGGCCAATCGCAACATTCACACTTGCCTCAAACAGACAAGAGTTCTTTCTCCCACCCTGGGTGTTCCACAGATATGTAAACCTCACTTGCCTAGTTTCCAACAGACCTCACAAACTCTGATGATGCCTGCCATAGATGTAGGCAAAACATCAGGAGAGAATGCTTCTGGAACATGGCCAGACAACCCAGAAAACGCACAATAATCCAACGATTCCGGCCATGAAAGCCTTCGACAATACATAGGATGTGTTTGCAATTAAACTGCTTGCTCAGCCATAAGTCCTGCATTATTTTTGTGAGTCTTGCAGGTTTCCTACCCTGGACTGTGACTTTTATAGTTGCAGAGAATGTGGTTTTTAGTCAAGTTTGAGGCCTGATCTTAGCTGAAACCACTCAAGAGAACAATCCATTCTGTGATGCAAAAGTGGGACTTTAATGTGGTAAAGCGGCTGGAGAAGAAATGCCTCTCAGAAACCAAATTGCCAAACTTGTTGGCTTGTAGGCAAAATACACATGACTCCGATGGGCATTTCTACCTTCAAATATTCACAAGGACTCTGCAACATGGGAGAATCAGAAACCAGAAATAAAATGAGAGCTATGCACCAGGAACCCCTGGTGTTGCCAAGCTATTATGGCCATCCCTACAAGAATCATTGCTTTGAATAGATCTTGATATTTTACACTGATCTTATTGCTTCCTAATATTCCTATAAACATCAGCTCCATATTTACTTGACATGGTATTTTAAATATTTTCTCCATTTTTTGCTGTTATTTGTTCCCAAAATGTTTTTGCCTTTGGACATTCACACCACATGTGAGCATACCATCCTTTGCTTAATCCACAGTGCCAACAAATTAAACTTTTACCACTAATCATATTCTATAGTTGTGCTAGGGTGCTATACCATTTCCATATATATTTCCTTTCCATTTCTTTGCACTTCTCTATTTTGATTTTCCTAGCCTCTCTTTTTAAGTCCTCTATCATTTGTCTGGGCTCCCTGGTGGCGCAGCAGGTTAAAGTGCTGAGCTGCTGAACTTGCTGACCAAAAGGTCAGCGGTTCGAATTCGGGGAGCCGGGGGAGCCTCAACTTCTGCCAATCTAGCAATTCAAAAACATGCAAATGTGAGTAGATCAATGGGGACCACTCCGGCAGGAAGGTAACGGTGTTCCATGCAGTCGTGCCAGCCACATGACCTTGGAGATGTCTACGGACAACACCGGCTCTTCGGCTTAGTAATGGAGATGAACACCAACCTCCAGATTCGGACATGACTGGACTTAATGTCAAGGAGAAACCTTTACTTTTACCTTATTCACGGTGGCAAATGTGCATAACCCTCACACTGCAACAGAGATGAGCACTGTGCTTTTAAGAACATGCTTTCAACCCAAAGATGCTACGAGGTGCTTCCATACAGCAAAATGGATTAGCTTTACCCTTAACTACGATGCCTCAAGAAAAACGTCAGCATGATGACTCAACTTGTAATCTTCTTTAAACACGCATTTGTTTGTTCATCTCGTATGTTTCAGCAATTGAATGTTTCTTGGTCCCCAAAACTAAAACAATTACTAACAGCTAAAAGAAACACAACTACCTTCTTTTGATATTTTTTTCAC